ACAGAAAGCCTGTAAACAATGATCCAGACCTCTTCAGATTACCTGCAAGTCTTACTGAGGAAGGACAGGAAGTAGGGAGTAGTGACTACTGTAGGTTGGTGGAAAGGTTTTTAATGATAACAGATAGAGACAGAACAGTGATCAGATCTGTTTAAAACAGAGTCATGAAGGAAACTGAAGCAGCAGCTGCAACAACCAGCTGACTGCTTATYATTCAGTTATTAAAGCAAAGTTTTTGTTCAATAAAACACATCATGTATAATAGGGAATAAATAATGTGTGTATTGTTCTTGAAGACTGGCATCAACCTAGACTAGTTAAGTCTGATCTTCAGCTTTTACTGGTGTCAGAATATCATCCACTGTCACAAACTACAGTAGATGTATGAGTCAGAGCTTTGCCAGGTTGTATCAGACTGTTAAATGATACTAATCCCTGCTGGGAGCTGAAGCCTGGCTTTTCTTGTTTTAATGTCTCGGCTGTGTTGTGCTCTGTCTGACCAGATGAGTGACAACTGGAGGGCTTTTCTTCTTCTGTCTCTCTGCCTCCACGTCTTCAGCTGGATGCTGGTCATCTACTGGTCCCTCTGGGGCTGGCACCATCATCCCATAAGCAGGGCGTTGCAGGCTCACGTCAGGCCTGCTCTTCCCAGCTGGGGCTCTGTTGCAGTCAGCGTCAACACAGAGTTCAGAAGAATAGACAAGTTTGCAGCTGGAGYCCCGGGAGCCAGAGTTCTTGTCACAGACAGCTGGGTGTTAAAGGTGAGTGGAATTATTACATTCTGCACAACCTGTGGCCCACATTTCACCTGCATACATCCAGACTAAAGTGTTCAGCTGAAACTGAGCTGAAAATATTTAATAGCAAAAGTGTTAATGTGAGTTCAATTTGCAAAGCTGAAAGTTGCAACAACAAAAAAAAAACTAACTTTGCAGAAAAACATAAAAATGAGCAAAAATATAATTAAAATAGCAGAAAGCAGCTAAAAGCTAAAATACCTCAATATAGCAAAAAACCTGTAAAAACCATAAATAGCACAAATTAGCAGAAAAAAAGCACAAAAAGTAGAAAAAAGCAGAAGAATAGCAGAAAGAAGCAGAACTATAGCTACAATATAAGAAAAAAGCTACAATTTGCATAAATACGCTAAAGGTAGCTGCCACAATTTATAATTAGCACCCAGATGGTGAAAGTGCTATAAAAGGTTAAAAAATTGCGGAAAAAAGCGTAAAAGAACTAATAAATGACAATTTTTAGTAAATACCATAGTTAAAACAGCCAAAAATTTTAGTAAAACAGCCAAAAGGCAGCTGGAATTTTAATTAGTATAAAGAAGCATAAGAAACACAAGTTTGCTGAACTCAGCAGAAATAAGTTGTATTAGTTACAAAAACGTGTATTTAGCTTACAACAGCTAACTTTACCTAATAACAGCTGAACTTTAGCTAAAATAGCAGCAAATAGCTGAATACAGCTGAACATATCTGTTAGAAGCATAAGTAGCACAAAGTAGCAGAAAAAAGTACAAAAAGGCAGAAGAATAGCAGAAAGAAGCAGAATTTTTGCTGCAATAGCAGAAAAATGCTAAAATAAGCAAAAAAGTTGCTAAAATTAGCACAAGGTAGTTAAGAAGAATAAAATGTGTAAGGTGCTGTAAAGATTTTGAAATATTTTAAAGGAGTTTAATGATGTTAAAACAGCTTCATTCATTTTCAATATCAAAAAAGTGGTTAAAAAAGTGAAATAGCTGAAAAAGTATAAAAAGCTGAAATACTAAAAGTCATAGCACCCCTCACATGAATGAGCTGAATGTTTTGATATGTGAATTGTTGAAACAGCACAAAAATTGTGGAACGAGTTAGATGCTGAAAAATGCACAGAAGAAAAAAGGATCTCATTTGTGTGAATGCTGTGAAGTGTCTATTATATGTGTAAGATTGTTTTATCTTGTTTTTAATAAAACACAAAAAAACTCAAAATAAACTACAAATTCCACATCTTACATGGTGCTAAAAACCAAAGAGAAGTGATGAGTTTCAAAACGGACAGAAGAGGCCTCTCTGATGTCATTCTACATTTGAGGAGCAGCAACAACACAATCCCCTCACAGCTGCTGTTTTGTTTGTGGGACACTCAGGATCTGCTCTGCTGACCTGAGACAACAGGGTTGAATATAGATGTGTAGCAGCTCAGAGAGGAACGACCATCATTTAAAACTTTAAAAGCAAACAAAAAAAGTAAAATGAACGTGAAGCCAGTGAGACTCAGGTGGGAGAAATGTGCTCGTGTTTTTGTGCAGTTAGAAGACAAGCAACAGTGTTTTTGTGTCCTCTGAAGATGAGCAACAGAGGATGAATACTCTGCATAAAGTCCATTACAATAATCCAGCCAGGTGGTGATGAAAGCATGGCTCACAGAACAGGTTTCACCTCAGCCATGTGCCTGGACTGATAAAAGCTTGATGTGATCATTGCTCTGAGTGGATTATCAAACTAAAGACCAACATTCACTCTGCCCCCCAGGTTCATAATGGTTGGGTGGGTCTGTAGTAGGGCTGTGTATTGGCAAGAATTTGGTGATACGATACATATCATAACAGAGGGGTCACGATACGATATATCCCGATATATTGCG